AGCCCTAGTTGATTCATTTTATAACTGCATCATGGTGTTCCATTTTATGATTAAACCCATTATTGATTTACTCCCCAGCTGATGGATGTTTAAGATTGTTTACATTTTAATTGGATAATTTTTTCACATTTGTCCTCATGCCAGTGTTTCTCAGTCGAGTCTACCTAGACCGGGCTTCCTGGCAGACAGTGGGTAGGACATTTACAACCTGAGAAAGCACTGCCAGCACAGTGAGATTCCAAAGGATCCTGAATTCCAGAGAATAGGAAGGAACATAGAAACGTACTAGTGACGCGTTTTTCCGTATTTTAAATATTACAAAGTAGTAAAGCACCAAAGTATCAAAATGCTTTTATCTTCACATACAAGTGGTATAAGTGCAGATTTCTCATTAAGTTGCTAATAAGTGGAATGAATAATCCAACTAGTAGGATTTTTACATGTTGGAGTAACATTTAAAGTATCATTTGAAGAAGATTCATATAGATCTCCCCCCTGTTAGGACACTTACCTTCTGGAGTAATATGGAAAGATAAAGTTAAGGATGCAACTCAAAATGCCAGTTACAGATTCTGACACAATTCGTCTGCCCTTTAGGCCTTCAGAAACAAGCAGCTGCTCTCACGGAGCTTAAGACACGAGCGTCCATTAAGGTGGCGCGTTAGTCACGTCTGGTAATTCAGCCGCTACGATTCTTCGCTTTCCCCGCGTGCGTGATGCCCGCCAGCGCCCCGGTGACAATTTCTGTTTCTGTCGTATACTTAACAAGGAGGATGTTTCGTATTCTCTCTTCAAACATTTAAGTCTACAGATGTGGATTTTAGTTTTGCTCTGTAAGTGCAAATTGTGTCGTGGTGATTTCAGAGAAGAAGGAGCCCCCCTGGATTTAACGGGAAAACAACGGCGCAGGGCCCTCGGCAAATACCGAACTCTGCCGCCAATACGTCGGGTACGGAAGACTTGTTAGAATTTAATTTCGGACCCCTCCTTTAATTTAGGGATCCATATAAATTTACCAAATACGAAATGGATCTGGCTGCATGAAGGAAGCCATAAACACGAGTGTATGGAAGCTGAGACAGGATGCCGTGGACGTCACTCGTTCATGGGGTCGCCAGGAGCCGGAGCCCACTCAGCAGCATGTTACACACACACACACACACACACACACACACACACACACACTTTACAGCAAAAGGCCACCTCTTAACTGACTCACATAGCAGTTACCACATGAAAAGGGCTTTGTTCCACAAAGCCCTGATGGGGCGGACACCCCGGTCCCCGGGGGCCAGGCATTTCTCCTCCTGGCGGGAGCTGAAGCTGTTCTGTACAGTGTCCTCATGGAAAAGCATTTCCCTCAGAATTCTCAGGTCATCGCTTCATTGGCTTCTAATACCCCTCTGCTCTTGCGAAGTCTGGTATCATTGCGATTTCTTTTGCGTGTGATATTTTCCCCTGTCGAAACCCTGTAAGATCACCTCGCATCCAGCAGGAGCATCTCGTGACGTCTGGGAAAGGGAAGGTGATGCAGTCTCTTCTTCATGACGCGTCTCGCAGCGCTGCTGGGGGTTCGCGACACTGTGAGATGTCGCGCCCTAGTTTGGTTCCAGAGGAGCCGGAGATGGCAGCGACACCCACCTTTTCTGCTAGCGTCTGTCGTACCGTTTTTTAAACATTAAGGTTATAAATGTTTAAAAATTTTAAAACTCATTAAAATGTTTAGAGCACCGAAGAAAGGATCTGAAACAAGTATGGAAACCGTGGATACTGTCATCTGGCGGCGTAAATCCCGGTGGAAGGCACGCAGCGCTGTCATCTTCTGTATGGCTGGAACAGTCACACGTTGTACAAGGAACCCCAGTGCAGAGATAGGAGAGGAAGCCAGGCTGTGAGGGTGAGGAGCCCTGGGCAGCCTGAGTGGCCCCTGCCGCAGTCACATTCAGATGTCACATTCTCGCTCTGAGTCTGGTGAAACAAAGAAACAGCTCTTGCTCACCAGTTTAGTTCGTGTTCATCCAGTGACCGAAAGGACACCACTGTGCACCGGGCGCTTTTATGGGCCCTGAAGGGCGGCGGGTGAACCAGACGCCATCGCACTGTTATGTGCTTGTGTCGTTGACCCTTTTAGGTTGCAGTCTTTACGTGATGTCACTTACTTGTCTTTGTACATCCTTCAGCTGCCTTACTATACAGCTCTCCTCACGAAGACATGACTGGCAAGTTTTTGCCAAACAGACCTCTTTTTACTGTATCGTAAATTCGGTTACGCAAGAGGCTTCCCATGAGCGGCCACCACGTGGGGGTAGAAAACCTTTGTGACGTGGAACCCAGCCTGATGTAGGTCCCAGGCTTCACCGTGTCCCTGGGAAACCGGTGGCCACCCCCAGTCGAGGGACGGTAGGACACGAGCATCAGTCGTGCGGTCGCTTAGGGCCCTGCTCCTCCCGCTCTGCTGTGTCCCGTGCTTGCCGTCGCCCAGGCCCCTGACGGTGCTGCGCTTCCACGTGCCACCTGTCTTTCAGCATCCGCACTAAGCGCCAGCTCTGGGGCGCCTTCTCGAAACCGCGCCCCCGCCTCCCCTTCGCTGCTGCTCGTAAATCTGTGATGGCATTTTACGTGGGGGGGACGGGCATCGAGGTTATTGCTGGGAAGGATTTTCCTCCCTCGCCAGCCTGTGGTTTTCTCGAGAGCCAAAGCTGCCGCCGCCTCGTTTCCCAGCGTCGAGGGCAGGGAGTGGCGCAGTGGGTGTCGGGGTCTCCCTGGGGCTCGGCCGAGCCCACGCCCATGCTGTGGCTTCCTGGGTCCATGGGGCAGAGCCACACCGCGCGTCCTGGAGAAGCTGGGTGGCCTTGCGACGGCCCCAGGGGGCCGGCTCCCTCGGGTGCGTGCTGTCCTCACACACTTGCTGCGCGAAGGCAGGTGTTTTACAGTGTCCGGGACGCTGGACTGTATCGTCCAGGAAGCTCCCCGCTGATGAATGGGGCTTAATCTTTCTGAGGACTCTGTACATTGGTTATATTTTAGGTTCTTTTCAAAGTACCAGTGCACGGACCTATTTCCATAAAGCCAATTGTGAAATACGTGAGGTTTTCTGGAAGTCAAGGGGTGGCCTCAGTTCTTTGTTATCTGGCTTTTGTCATTTTATGACAGGCACTAAGCTGTGGCTTAACATTTTTATTACGTGTGAATAATAGAGTACATATATTGAGGTTTCATAGATGTAATTTTGTTAAATGTACATCACAGTAGATTTAAAAATGAGGGATTTATTTTGTCATTCATAAAGTTGTAATACAGTCTGGAGAAACTATTTGTTAACAGATAGCATCCACTTAACCTCCTTATTTATTTCGTGTAGGAGAAGGTGAGATCCACAATAAATACACGAAGAAATAAGTAGATAGGGGAATTTATCTTGGAAATAAGATCCCTGTCATGGTTTTGAAATGTTAAATGCATGAAGACCCGTCAAAGAGATGTACGGACGTGATATTTTTTTACAGTGCATTTCGAAGTATTTAGTTATATTTGTCATTCTCTAGTCCCAGTAAGCAGCGATCAGATGATACAGTAATTTCAGTCAGTCAGTGTTAATGGGTGTAAATATGGTGTCTCTACACATACGTCATATGGGTATATTAATTGACAATTTTAATATTAATGAAGCCCTTAAAGTATTTTATATGACATTTCTGAAATATTTAGCAATTTTTATTTCTGTTGCATTTAAGATAGGTTATAAAAATATATCTACACATAACAGATGAAGGGGGATTTTTATAAAAGGTAATTTCAGAATTTGATTTATAAGAATTTATGAAACTGAATGATTTATTTGTTAAAGTAATGCGCATTTGCCTCAAAATGAGAAAGCTAATTATTTGGAGCTTGGCCTTCTTTTTCTACCCTATGAGACCAAGGAAATTTGTAAAATCATAGTTAAAGCCTTTATGGAAAGAATACAGACTTTTCACATCTCCTTATTTACATCATAATTTACAACAGGTGTGGTAATCTTATTTTTAATTGCGTTAACTTGCTAAAAGTATAGGCCGATTTACGATAGTCAAATCCAGCTGCTGGAGTTTCTCTATGTGGTGTAGTGCTTATCAACGTATTAAAGTATTTTAATTTTGAATATTGGGCTTTAATTTGCTTTTACTTGACTGTTCGTTATCTTGAATTAATTAGCTGGACACTGTTAGGTACAGGGATGGCTTTAACCTAAATTGTATTAGAAATAAAAAGTACATGTTAGCAGTGAGTTTCCTGAGTGCACGTGAAACGGGACAGAAGATTAACCCGAGGAGATATTGAAGTTTTTTGTTTGGGGTTCATATCGCCTTGATTATTAAGAGTAACTGCCTGTGAACCGTGGGGCTGAAATATTGTCGGGGGGGAGTATGGCCTTACTGTCTTCAGAGTTTTTTCCATACAGGAAACAATGGAGGTTTCTTTTCCTCAAAGACTTATTTTATCAAAAAAGTTATGGTTGTATCTGATTTTTATTCTCATCAAAGCAGACGTCTGCGTGTCGGGGAACGCCGTGGGAAGCGGCCCCCTCCGGGAGCTGTGCGGTGGGGGCGGGGGTGTCGCAGGAGCCAGGCAGCCTCAGCCGGTGGCCCTGCCCGGCGGGGAGCAGGCCTGTCTCGGCACTTTAGTATGGATGGCTTTTCATTTAGCCTTTGCTCTGACAGCCCGTGCCCTGGATAAGTGGTGTAGGCCTGTACAGGTGAAATCTATTCTCACATTTGCCTCAGGGGTGACTGGACTGTAACAGAATTTTTCAAACCCGTTGGGCCCAACCGCAAAGCAGAGAATAAATGGCTGAAGTGCCAGGCCTGGACAGAAAAATCAATGCCTGGTTATACAGACGTGACAGAGCCGGCCGGCGGTGCTCCTCGCCCGGCCGGGCGTCCGCCACGCTTCGGGGGGGACGCGGGGCCCTGGGGGCCGTGTGGGCGCCACTCACCTCCTGCTCTCTCTCCTCCACGCAGGAAGTTCACCTGCCACCTGTGCGACAGAAGTTTCACAGAGAAGTGGGCCCTGAACAACCACATGAAACTCCACACGGGGGAGAAGCCGTTCAGGTGCACCTGGCCCACGTGCCACTACGCCTTCCTCACGGCCTCCGCCATGAAAGACCACTACCGGACACACACAGGTGCGCAGCCCCGCCCCCGTCCCGTGTCCCGCCAGGCCGGGCCGGTGGCCCCGTGCTGGTGGCCCCGTGCCGCGGTGAGCTCGGCGGTGGTCAGTAGGAACGGTCCCCCGTTGGAAGAGTTGAGGACTGTGGTACTTACACTTTGAAAGGATGGCATCTCTTCACCGGGTGTCAGCGATAGGGTCATTTTAAAGTGACATTGTAACGTGTGTGTGGGGTGTGATGTTGCACGTGCATGTGTTTAAATAACAAACTCCATGTTTAGAGGCCCATTTATGTTGCACGTGTGCTGTGCGTGCGTGTGCGTGCGTGTGCGTGTGTGCCACGTGTGCTGTGCGTGCGTGTGCATGTGTGTGTGCCACGTGTGTGTGTGCGTGTGTGTGCGTGTGTATGTGCATGTGCGTGTGTGTTTACATGTACCTTTTTAGGTGTGACCTCGATGGAGATGCAGTTTTCACAGAGCGTTTGTACCTCGTTACCGACACACACAGCGCTGTAGTATTTTTGAACATTATTGAATCTTGGTTCTATGTACCTTTTAAAAAATCTTTAATCAAGTTAATATTTCTCTTGAGAATGCCATCAGATCCAGTGGTTATTGATAATTAATGCAAAGAGGCTCATCTGAATTCAGCCACTGTAAATTTCTTAGATAATTATATATATTCAAAATGTACAAATTCATTTACATCGCCTCAAAACATTTAAAAGACCGTGTGGAATTTAAACCAGTGGACAGGAAAGCAGCACACGCAACTCTCGGTCAGAACCTTCGTAAACACGCGCTGCTTAGTGTGCCGCAGTGTCGTAGGCACCGTTTTCGGCGTGTTTCATTATCTCAGGACAGCGGCCCCTAAGCTCCTCGCGGTGCACGGTGGGCACTGTCCTCATCTCTCGAGGGCTGGGTGACTGAGCTGTTTGGTATTCTTGTGGTCTTTCTCTTTACACCTCTCAGAAAGTATTTTGTTTCAGGGAAAAAAATAAATTTTAATCAGCATTCCCAAATGTTCTTCTGATTGCCAAGAATCCTGTATTATTGTTAGAAATTATAGGTTAAAGTTCTCCTGGAGCAGTTTGTGGGAAGCCCAGGCCTCCTTAGCTTCCTTGACAAGGGCGTTGACGATTTAAGGTCTCCCGCCTGCCCTGAGAGATCACTTATATCGAACAGCAGATGAAAAGCCAGTGCAGATGTAATTTATCGTCGGCGTTTCCTTCTAAAGAATAATTGTGGAGACTTGGCTGGATCAATAATATGGATTTTTGTTGTTAGGTCTTGTAGTCTGCACCATAATGAGAGATAGGGGACAGTGGCTGTTTTCTAATAGAAAATAAAGGATTGGTTTCCGTGTCTTTCTACATTTGAATGCAAAATGGCACACTTGAAACTAATTCAAGTTGTTAAGAAAAGTCTCCTATTATATCTCTGCTATCATATAAATATGGCATGTTAAATGAACCCCGTTTATGTGGAGTGAAATATTACCTTTAGTTTTTTCTTAAATTTTTTTTTCGAAAAATACTCTGTTGCCCACTATCCGACCCTAACCCTGCTACCTGCTCAAAAAAAAAAAAAAATAAAGTGAGTGAAAATTGAATTTAGAATGACAAACAAATCAAGCCACCAAGGTGTCTATGACATACAATACATTGCAGGCTAACATCCTAAATAAAATACTGCACATCAAAAAATCAAGGTCACTAATGTATCTAAAACCAAATCACGTGGAAAAGTAATAATTTTGTCTTTGTGCCTATACATCTCTTCAACTAGGAAAGGAATAAAACTTAGGTATACGTGCAGCATCTATACCTGTAAAGAACGTCCATCTCGTGAGGACTTTTCTGCGTGTGTGAATGTTTTTATTTTATAAGAGGCTGTAGGTCACTGAGTTCACTGGTGAAAGAAATGACTCGTGCCCCGTGGGGGTCCGGAGGACATAAGAACACTCTTTGTTCATCAGAGACCGTGCTGGTTGCATGGCACAGCCCTGAGATGTCCACTCCACACAGCACCAGGTGCACACACACACGAGCTGCCGCCCACGAAACGGTGATGGCGAAGAAATCGCAGAGAACAGTTCTGCCTCGACGTACAATAGTCTGTTAACGTTAACAAGGAAGTTATCGTTTGGGATTTTTTAAAAGTCCACATTCGCTGTTATTTAATTGATAATACATCTAGTTAGAAAGATTTATATTTCTAATTGATTAAATAATTAAATGAGTGATTATAATTAAACTTTATTCTTCACAGCCCATCTACTCTATTCTTTTTTTCTATAGTGGAATAAACTTAACCTCCAAACAGGAAAGTAAAGATAGGAAAAATATTTAAATTCAGCTTTACTTTATAAATGATAATAACAAACATTTTAACATACCATTGTGAAATAAGATTAAACATAATTTGGTTAAAACTCTATTAATATGTGTTCAAGTTAAGAAAAACTAGGAATGCTCCTAACTAAAGGGCAGACTGATTACTGAAGTTAGTCTGCCTTCTATTTACTATTTTTTCTAACCTTATAAAGGCAATTACCATTTCCAGAACAGCTCAGGCTAGATCTGCGTTGTGGTACACCAAAACGTTTCAGAGCAAAGCAGGCCGACTCAGACAAAGCCCTCGAAAGACTTGTTGCATTAAACATCTAAATGAGTAGATAAAGATAGATACAAATGATTTATCTTATTTTTGGAAAAGTACTTTATAATTTCACTGAATCTCTCCGAGGTTAGCATTTTTATTCTCTTTTGCCCTTCGTCGTGAGCCTTGTGGGACAGACTGCTCGGCTTGCCAGCACTTATTGCCTAAATATGCTACAGAAGAAAGACGGATTGCATTTATAAACTGCAGGGCGAAATGTTAGCGTGTGTAAAAATGCCCCCCAAAATGAGCATTTGTACTTTTAACAAATACTAAGTCTGCCAAATCCGTCTCTAATTGTTGCAGAGGTTTTGAGTCCAGAGTTATCATTAAAGATGAATAATAGGAGTTTTGTACAATTTCTAGACTTCCTTTTTTACGCCACGAAAGTTCGAGAAACAAACGGCACTGACCCGCTGTTGGTTCTTAGAACGTAGATGTCATTGTGCTCGGGGTCTTCAGCACGTTCGAGGAAACCGCTGAATCCGTATTATTAAGCAGGAAGTGATTAAAGCGGACCCCGATAGAATCAGGTGAAACCAATTCAGTGTCCTTCAGCGGTTAGAAGATTCGATGTGTTTTATTTAAGCGGGATCATATATACCGTATATTAACTATTCCAGGCAATCTTTACTCAGCTCGGGAAGGCCAGATGTATGGGAATTGTAAAAAATCAGGATATGCATAAAAACTGTTCAAGTGCATAAAGCAGCCCCATCTGGAAGACATCTACCAGAAATGAAGTTGTACAAAACCATTCCATTGATAATAAAGCTAATTTTTATGGGTCTGACAAGTATGTAATTATGTTCAGTGGTGCTTTTCAGATTTTATCACAGTCAATAAACCGCAGTGGTAATTTCATTCCCATTTGACATATTTACATGGAAACATTTGATTGGAGGAATTAGTAACCCTGAAAGCCTTGATAGATATGTTTTAATGATCTGTGACCTCCGCAATCCCTCATCTGTTTATTGTTGCAACAGGCGAGAAGTCGTTCCTGTGTGACCTCTGTGGCTTTGCGGGTGGCACGCGGCACGCCCTGACCAAGCACCGCCGGCAGCACACAGGTCAGTGCGGGGCGTCGCGGCGGCCACGCCCGCACCCGCTCTCCGTCCTTCCGCTTGCCTTTCTGCGTACTCGAGGCTCTACTCAAAATTCCGTTTGCATAACACAGAATTTTAACTCATCTATTTTTACTTTTTAAAAATGTAGGCCTACTTCATGTTTTATGGAGCAGGTGTCCTCTGAAAACTCAGGTTACAAAGGAAGGAAGGGTCTGGCCTCCCGAGCACAGGTGCAGCAGGCTTTGTGCCCTGCAGGCCAGACTCGGCCTGGGCCACGGGGACCCGGGGGCAAGCCCCTCCTCCCTCCGTCTCCCTGGCCGACCTGACCGCCCTGCCTCTGCCCACAGTCCCTCTGTGAGTTTCCACGCGGGCGTGGTTTCAGGTGGTCACGTGTCAGTTACTTTCGCTGTTGGGAAGAGGGGGGTGGCCGTGAAGAAGGGGCCTTGTAGGGAGTTCTGAGCATGAAGGAGGGTCGTGTTGTTCACGAGGCACATTCTCGATGATGTCACAAAATGGACGGATGCCTTGGTTAGGATGAAAACTTTAACCGTGTATTAAAGTTGATAACCTGTTGGCATGCTGAAATAGGTCATATAAGTAATTATTTTAATAATTCTAAATTATGTGCCTGGGACAGTGCTAGTATGGCATTGTTCCTTCTAATGATCATAGAACCTCTCTTTACTCTCAGAAGTGATCTAGTTTAGTGATAAATCGTGCGGTAACACAATTTGTAATTGAATGTGGTACTTTGAGTACAATGGGAAAGGCTGAGTTTGGCAGTGACACTCAAAATGGCGTGAAATTAAGATATGCAAAATATGTTGTTTATTGCGCATTTTGATTCTTGATATGTTGTATTTAAGAGTTAGCTGCAGGCGACAAATGCCCATTATGGTTTTTGAAAGATCAATGAAAATTAATGCTAGCCATTCCTTTTAGATCTTGAGCTTATGTGATTCAGATTTCTGTATGAGATGAGTTATCACTGAATCGAAGAGAAATCTGCAGTGTTTAACGTAACGTTGGAAACACAAACTTAACTTCGTAGACATAAAAGTTTGTTTTAAGTTTGTAGGAGCAACCTGTGATCACGTTTTTCAATCCAGCGACTTGAGGGTTCAGTGTCAGCGATGGGAGAGAGACTGGTGGATGGGAGCCATCCTCGGGGGCTGTCCCGGGGAAGAGGGAAGCGCGTGTGGCAAAGTGTGTCCGTGCGCGAGTCTATTCTTAACGTTAGTGCCCGATTGGTACCGTTCACATGTCGCTGTTGCTGCCGTGTCCCGGGGGGCCAGGGGACACTTCCATGTGCCATCTCTGCCGGCATGGCCCCACACCCTCTCCCCGCCTCAGTGGGGACGGCGATGCCGCGGTCACCAGCGTCCACAGGTGATCGATCGCGAAGCCTGCGTCGAGCAGGCACAACTTTATATTTTATGTCAGGTCTGGAGGCTCCTTATTACTTTGCTATTAACTTTATACCACATAGGACAATGTCTGACACACACAGGCATCTGTCTTCTTGGCATTTATCTGCCACTGTGGCACAAATCAAACCCGATTCTTTAGTACCGAAGTCGGGTCTTAAGACTGTTTGCTTCAGCCAGCAGCTTAGGACAGCTCAGTCTGGGCGCTCCGCTCTTACGCTGGCTTTATAAGATCTAAGCAACGCACTCCCTTTTTTTCCAGGCCAGAATTGAATGGTGCCTTTGAAATCTGTATTTCTCGGCTGTGTTCCTCTTTGCCGTGGTTTACCTTTTTACCACATGCGCCCACGCAAATTACAGACAGCTGGGAAAGGAATGGGAATCGGAAGTGTTGCAGACGGCGTGAATAATTCCCCACTGCAGCCCGCGCTGTCTGGGGGCTGAACCAGAGCGTCTTCCGTCCCGAGATTTACTTCCATCACCTGTCAGAGACCCTTGATTCAAGGGCACAAGAGCACATCCTCACGTGTCGTTGGTGAGTCTTGGCCGGCTTAATAACCGCCAGCCCAGCCCGCACAAAAGGGTGTGACGTGTGCGTTTCCCAGAGGAGCGTCCAGCCTGACCGACCGCTGCCACACGGAGGGCACTGCTCTGCCCGTGGCCACTCTGGTGTCCCCGCCACTCCGGCCCCCACCACTCGCCCAGAGGTGCCTGAAAGGCAGGGTGTGTCAGGGCTATTGCTTGTCAAGGAAAGTATGAAGATCAACGCAGTCTAAACTAACGCGCACCGTTATGTCATCTCAGGGAAAAACCGGAGGGAAGGAAGTTCGCCTTCGTTCTGCTCTTTTCAGTAGGATGTTTACAGGTCGTCCTGTTGCCTGACAGTCGCATTGTCCAAGAGTTAATGTCTTACAGCGTTATCCGCTCCCCTGGCTTTGGGAAGACGTTCCCGGTGCCCCAAACCAGTTCCATCCGTTCATCAAACCTTCTTCCTTAAGTGTACACACCTCTTTATATGTGCCCGTCTCATTGCAAGCATTAACAAATATTAGTAAACTGAAATTCTTAAAAAAATTTGTAAGATTTTCTTTCAAATTTTATAATCTAGAAGTTGAGTCTTTTATTTTTATTTTTTTGCTATAAACCGAGACCAGCAAACGAGAAAGTACTTCTGTATTTCTGAAGTGTATTTTCCTGAGGAAGGTACCTGAAGAAATTATTTCTGGACTTAAAAAAAAACACCAGTTAATGTGTTCAAATAGTGTTGAACATGCAACAGAATTATGAGTTGCAGATTAACTGTTGTGTACAGACTTGAGTAAACTGTAGTTTGTATAAACTGACATGAAGTCCTGCCCCTATCATGAGCCTAAACATGCTGGAGTCTCCCTTTACTTAGTGGTTATAGCGTAGTATCTTATGTAGCATTTTTGGTACATTATACTTCTTTTCTCTGTCAGCCTGTATATAATTAAAGATTTCTTAATATTACAGAATTTAATCTAAAGTGTTATCAAATTAAATATGAAATAACAATTTATAGTTTATTGCAATATTATGCTAGCTTAATATGAATTTCAAATTAATAAAATTATAGAGAATATAAGTGACATTATTCTTTAAAAGTGTTGTTTTTAAGTTTAACTTGTATGACATAAAATGCAATAAAATTTAAATGAAATGAACCACATTTACCACTTTTTTAAAGTGCTTATGCTGAACCTTCAAACCAAGAAAATTAACTTTGAAGCGTTTAGATGACCTTGAATTTATACCGCTGACTCAGACAGTGAATCCATAATGCCACCCTTTTACCACCTTGATTCCTGTCAGATCTCTGAAAAATGGATCAAGATGTCTATGAGGGCTACTAGAATAAACAAGTCAGCAGTGAGTTATGATGCCAGCACTTTTTCAAACACAGGTTGAATGAAATAAGGAAGCATCAGAATGTATTTGTGAATTTGCTTAATTTAAAAAAAATCTTTAATTTTTTGACCACTTAGAGTCATTATATTAAAAGTGGAAGATTTGTACTCCCTAACTTGAAGTCTGAATATATAGCTACAATAGTCATGACAGTATTATATTGGCATAAAGGTAGATCAATGGAATAGAATAGATTATGCGTGTATTTGACGATATTTAGAGATAAATCTAACAAAGTATGTGCAAAGCCTTTACATCGGCAACTTTGAAATACTGCCAAGAGATGTTAAAGAAGACCTAAATGGAGCGGTATACCATCTTCATGGATTGAAAGACTCAGTGTAGTTAGACTTCATTTCCTCTCATACTGATCACTTCAAATCCCATCAGGCTTTTTTTTTTTTTTTTAAAGAAACGGACAAGCTGATTTTAAAATTGATGATTTTAAATTAATCTGAAATAAACAAGTTTAAGAAAGATGAATAAACTTGAGGACTTACGCTACATGGCTTCATGACTTATTATAACGCTATAGTAACTAAGTCATTCTGGTATCATCATCAAAATGAACAGATATATCTTGGAATGAAATAGAGATTACAGAACAGACCCACACCTACATGGTCAGTTGATTTCTAACACAGGAGCAAAGGCCGTTTAATCTTTTTCATCTGCACTGCTGGAACAGTTGGCTACCCACATGCTGTAAACATGAACTTTGATCTGTACACTGTAGATAAAAAGTAATTCAAAATGATCATAATCTAAGTATAAGACTTAAAACTATATAAATTCTAGAAGAAAATTTAGAAAAATTTTTGTGATCATAGATTATCAAAGATTTCTTAGATACCACATCAAAGTCTGATTCTTAAATGAAAAAAATTATATCTTGAAAAATCATACATTGTTAAATTGTAAATCTTATAAATGAATAACTTCCCTTCAAAAGACACTGTGAAGAGAATGAAAAGACAAACCACATACGAAGACAAAATATGTGTAAATCATGAATCTTGTAGAGGTTTTGTATTTATAATATATAAAGAACTCTTAAAAAAAAAACCCACAATTATAAGAAAACAAATAACCAGTTAAAAAAGAGTCAAAAGATTTGAACAGATACCTCACTAAAGAATATACGTGCATGGCAAATATGCACATAAAAAGATCCTCAGCGTCTTTAGAAAAATACAGATTCGAAGCCCTGACCACACCACACGTGGGTGACATGGAGCAAAGGGAGCGCTCATGAACACTTGTTAGGAATGTAAAGTGGTCAGACCATTTCCCAAAATACTTTGGCAGTTTTTTACAAAATTAACGTACCTACCATATGACCTATTCGTTCCACTCCTGGATACTTACCCAAGAGAAGAGGAAATGTATGCTCAAGCAAAGACTGGCACGTGAAAGTTTATGGTGGCTTTATTGGCAGTGCCGCCAAATGAAAACAGCTCAAATGTCCTTCAGTGGATGAATGGATAAACCAACTGTGGTGCATTCATATAACGGATAGCTGCTCAGCAGTAGAAATGAATGGAATGTTCATGCCAGGAGCACCATGAGCGGGTCACAGAAAAATGCTGAGAGAAGGCCAGAGAGCGCTTATATTGCATGTTTCCTTTTTATCAGCTTCTGGAAAATGCCAGTTACTATCTGGTGACAGAAAGCAGTGAGTGTGTGCTTGGGGGTGGCATGGGCAGGGGAGAAAAGAGGGTACAGGGAAACTTCGGGGGACGATGGATGTGTTCATCGTCTTGATCGTGGCGGTAGTTTCATTGTGCCTCGTATGGTCAGCCTGGATAGCTGTGTCGTTAGTGAAGTGATTAATAGTACGTGTGTTCTCATCCAGATGATGCTTCACTTCGTGTCCTGTTTTCCATGTGACACTGGTGTACACTTAAAATACTCTTCATTGAGTTTGATGACCAAGTCAGTTCTTATAATAAATGAGGAGGTGTTTAGATACGCTTATGTGTGGATGTTTATGTTTCCATGACAGAATACCCCTGTGTCAAATCTGAAGAGACTGAGCTATTTTCTTTAGCCGTGTACAGTAATATATACAATACAATACAAAGATCCTGTATTGCGTCTCAGATAAAAGCAAAACCTGTCATCGTCATGAAAGTGAGTTTTTGTCTGAGTCAATTCAGTACAATTGAGTTGTCCGTAGCAATTTAAGTGACTCGACCAGAAGTTAATAAACTGAGAACAAAGAGTTATTCAGGCTGACCCTGGGTGACCCCTCAGTTGGGGTGTTGTAGATGGCATTTATTTTATGGACAATATGGCTAAAAGAGTCAGAAATCTCTCTCAACTCCAAGATTTTTACTGTACTTTGTATATGGTCTTTTTCAAAGAATAAATGAAGTATTTGCTGGTAGGATCTGCTAAGGGGTATCTTTATGTTAAATCCACTATGTGAAACTATTGTCTTATGTAAACTGTAGGTTTGTCTTTTTACTGGAGGTGAGACTTGGCTGGGAACCATTTGTGGGCCCCCACTTTGGTCCTTGCGAGGGGTCTTCACAGTGACCAGTGTTTTGGCAGTCTTGTTATGGTGGTGATCAGAAGGATGATCGCTGAGCACCCTGCCAAGGTGCTGGGTTTGTCCTTCCTTCCTGAGACCTCACAGTTACCCTGCTTGTTTGGGTGTCATCCTCCTGACCTTACTCAGGGTCTGACAGGTAGGGAGTGAATTCTGGCAGAATCTGGATTGGGATCGAAGTCCATGTGGCCTCTTGTAACTGTTAGCTTGTGCTGCAGTGACAGATAAAATATCATCAGATGAGCTGTGTGTGCATCCAGTTAAAGGTTGCTGTAATTATGGGACAGGCCATATAAATAGGCCCAGAGAATGTAGGACAAATTTCTAAATGTTCTGCTTTTCAGGACCAACATAGATTTCTTGCTAGCTGAATGATGTAGAGTAATTTTAACCCAAGATATTTTAGCCTTCGTTTTCCTACATAAGTCTTATAAAATTATTTTAAATACACTGGAAATAAGAAATAACAGGTAGACTTATCGAGCATATAGTAAGTCGTGCCCCCATATCCTTGGCGGCTGCGTCCCAAGACCCCCGTGGATGCCCCAAACGGCGGGCAGGCCGAACCCTGCGTGTTCTGTGTTCTTTCCTGCACGCACGTGCCCGTGGTGTGGCGTAGCTTATAAATTAGGGGCGGGAGACAGTAACGGCAATTAGTGATGATGCACGGGACAGTTACATCTACGTGCTGTCGTAAAAGCCCCGTGAACACGGGGCTCTGCCCCCAAGTGTCTTAGCGTCCCGCACTCGCCCTTCTTGTGGCGACCGCGCCGCACCCGCGTGGCAGGTGGGGCAGGTGGGGCCCGGGCCGGCC